TACTAAAATTTTACTTTAAGAAGCCATAAGAAAGGAACTTTTATTTGGTCCGGTTAACGTACGCAACTCTACGTTCGGCCGCCAGTAGAATTGTGCCCGACAACCCGACCCGGAACGGACCCAAGATTGCTCAGTATTGCTAGGTATTGGTCGATTTTGATCGGTAATAACCAATACCGAGCAATACCGAGCAAATACAGAGTTGTGCCGAGTTGTACCGAGTTTTTTCTAGCAATACCGAGCAAATACCTAGCAATACCGAGCAAATCCGTAGCAATACCTAGCAAATACCGAGTTGTACCGAGTTGTAGAAAAACTCCGTGCAACTCGGTATTTGCATGGTATTGGCCTTCACAGAGCGGTATTTCTCGTTTTTGCAAAGCAATACCAAGCAAATACCGAGCAATACCGAGAAAATCGCGAACATAGCATTCCCGGCTTCCGGTCCTGGTCAAGTCATCGGGCCGCGCAGTAAAGAGTAAAAGCACGTGGCGACATGTTATTGGCGGCCGAACGTAGCTCTACCTCCGGTCAGTGGACGTAATAATTGGCTGTAAGAAAGCCGTCCCAAATAAAGCCTAAAACTGAAATTAATGTTGAGGTTTGAAACTTCATTATTGTATAGAAAACACTCTTGGTAGAGAAATGGCAGACGTTCTTATGCGTCCATCCCCTTCTAATGCTTATTTCTATGAATATTATTTTGCAAGTTGCTTGTTCTTTACCTTTATTTTTATTTTTTGCATGAAAATCAACAGTTGACTTCAATTATTTAAGCTGCTTTCCTGGTTTTATTTTTCACAAATTATTAATTAAATATGTTCATTAATATTTATATATCTTCAATTCGTTGGTATTAAAAAACTATTATATTTATCAACAATATATATAGTTACATTTATCATATATGTAAATTTTTATAAATAAAACAACATCTTATTATATGCTCTTTGGATGAAATATTATGATCTTAATTTTTTACTAATTAAAATATAGTATATGTCTTTCTTAAGCTTAGATATTTGCGTTAGATAATATTAATTGAATGTTAGGCATCACTGGCCGGTGATACTCTTAAGGATCTTATTTTATTTTATTTATTGTAGGTAAGATAGCGAGTTTGCTTACCAACTAGCAATTTAAATATAATTTCTATAATTTATAAGGTTTTGGAGTTAATGAAGATGCATAATATATTTTATATTTTAAATTACACAATATTTATAAAAACGTTGGAAAAACTACTGAGAATTGATATGATTCTAGAAAATTCATATGATTGGCATGAATCTCGAGGTGATATTTGAATTAAAATTTTTGAAATTAAATTTTGGATCGTCCGAACTCGGATTTCAGCAAATTTATAGTCGAATCAATACTAAAACTGATTCGATTTGACTCTCAATGAGCTCAAATCAAGCACTTAATTTTTTTTTTTTTTTTTTTTTTTTGATATTGGATGGACCAAATGACTTTCAATTATAACAAGCTTATAGTCAATTTGAGAGGCTCAACAAGATGAATCAAACGAGCCCAACATCACTTGATTTTGACATTGTTAAGACATTCAAATATTTTATAAACGATTTACGATCAAAGGGACTGATATGAACCATACAATGAAGTGCGTTAAATTCTGACCTAATTTATCAAAATATCGATCCCTAAAAGGCTATAGATAAAGCATCATTCTCTTTAGAAAGGACGATGAAATAGCCGAGATAAATAAAGAACTCTTTTGTATTTTATGACTACCATCATCATTTTTTTTTTTAACCCCAAAAAATTTTATATCAAAAGCATAAAGAGTACAACCAGCTAGGAAAACCAAACAAAAAAAGTTACAGAGGATGATAAGGAAATCAACCCGTCGGGCTCAGTAGTTGGCAGAGGCTTCCAACTCCCTTGTAAGCCATGCACGGGCCATCCAGTATGGAGAGACAACAGTAACGAACGAAACAACCAGGAGTAGCATACGCACCACCAAAGGTTGCCACAAGCATCGGCTTCTGGAAAATGAGCCCTAGTCACATCATTGCCCATAAACAAACAATCGCCTCGAAAATTCTCAAACGTAGCTCCAGCAAAACGACTATATGACTACCATCATCATGTCCTTAGCAATGGCCACCATCTATGGGCTTCTTTCAACATCTAACCCTATTTTTGGATATTAATTGTCCGCATGTGAGCATTATGATTTTGTAATCCCTGCAAAGCAAATCAATGAATTGTTCTCAATTGTAAACAATCTATTCTTCTTCTATTGTGATGAATTGAGAATTTTTATCTCCTAATATATAATGGATTATTGTAATTAGATCAGATCCTGTGATTTTTCTCGTTTCCGAATTTTCATCTGAAAATTTTTTAGTCTCCTACATCTTTTGTTATGCGTGCCAAATTCTTGTTCAAATCTAAAACGTAAAGAACACACTCCACCGCTATAAATTTTGTAGCACTTAACAAAAATGATTTGATAGGTGCGAAGCACGGCAAATTATTGCATGCGTTCGGTGTCCGGATTCATCCGGACACCAATCCAGACGCAACACATCAGCAAAATACAACGGGCCCCAATGTATTTGGGTGATATGATGCATCCGGATTGGTTGTCCAGATATCAGGTGACCGGATGCAATAATTTGCCGTGAAGCACAGCTGATCCAAACTGATTGTGAACAAATAAACTTCTAAACCCTAAAACTAAATATATAAATAATAGAGACGTCTATCATTATATTAAATATAAATATTATTATTCATAAATATTTCAACTTTGTCAACTTTTCACCTTGCAGATGCAAAGCGCAAAGCATATTCGAATAAGAGGCTGTTTACGTGACACAATGATAACCTTTTTAAATGACTCAAATGTCCAAAGGAGAACAATATGAATCATGAAAACACTTACTATCATTTAAATAAATGTTTTACTCAATGTAAGGATTTCCATGCTAATTAATATAATTATAAAGGCACACTTAGGTTTTATTTAGGAGGGCTTTCTTCACTATTAAAAATATATATTTTTCGCAGCATTTATTAGCAGCAAAATAAATACCGCTGCTATAGACAGTAAATCACAACGGTCTTAAATCGCTTCTTTTATGTTATTAATTCGCGTGTGAATGAAAATTAAGGCACGAAACCGAAAATAAACCGTTGTTACAAAGCGTTGTTAAAGGCGTCCTATAACAGCAGATACTAAACTGCCGCTAAAGCTTTTCCAGCGAATACAAATACAAAGTATATGCATGCAAAAAAAAAAAGAATTTGCAAGTGTTTAAACTGCTGCTATAGGGTAGAAAAAGTGTTGCGAAAGTCTAATTTTTTGGTAGTGAGCTTAATGCTTCTTAAAGCAGCTTTTTAGAACAATTTTTTTTATTTTTATACTAACAAACTCATTAAACCTATTTTTTAGCACATTTTTTGTTTAAACTAAAAATTTTTATACTGAAAAGCTCCTTTTAAAAGCAATAAGAAAGCTATCTTCATTTGGAATGACTTTTTTACTATTTTCTAAAACAACTTTCTAATACAAAATTTCTAGTTCAAGAGAATTTTTACTATAAACTTTAAAAAATAATAAGAAAGCTATCTCAATCAAAACCTTAATATCATTTAATTACTAAAAGAGTGAAATAATGGACATTGTTATACTTGGTATTAAATCTTTAGTAAGAAGCTGAGTTTATGAATTATTAGTAATATTTTAAATCAAATTGTAATTTCAAAAAAGAATGTAGAAGTTGCAAACAAAAAAATAATTTTTTATTGGATATATTGATTAGGATTATAAATGAATCGGGCCGAGCAGAGTATTAGCCTATTTAAGCGCACTCATCCATTTTCTTATCTTGTTCATATTTAAGCTCACTCATTTATTTTTTTATCTATGAAATCTCATTCAAGCTTATTTAATAATTTTCTCATCAAATTGAGCTGTTATCAAGCTTCGATTGAGTCTAATTAATTATATATTTGATGCTAATAATTTAATTATGTATCACAAGTACTAGGTATAACTAATTTAAAATTTTTATCATAATTGATACAATTCATTATTTATTATTTAAATAATTTGGTGATGTCTAATATTAATAAGAAAAAAATTAAATCATATATACAATTATTTATTTGATATTTCATCATATTTATACATCTATCTAAGAATATACATAATTCTCAAGTGTATAAGATATGAAGAAATAGTAATAACATAAGTCATTAAATAAATAATTAAGCATCATTAAATAAGCATTTTCTTTTATTCTAAATTATTTTTCAAATAAAAAACAAAGATGTTTATGAATATAAATTAACAAACAAACAAACGAATGTTCAAACTTATTCAATTATATTTCAAGCTATTAAATTTTTTTTTTCAAACTTATTAAATATGTAAGTATTCAGCTGCAATTCATCAATTGCATTTATTTTTTTAAAAAAAAATTTGTTACATAGGCATTAATAGGAATTTACTCATTGACACGGGATACAAAATGAGCATATACGTGAAAAGATTCGAGTAGGTCCGATGGAAGATAAGATTAGAGAGAGTCATCTTAAATGATTTGGTCACATAAAATGACGGCCTTCCGATGGAAAAATTATTCCGTGTGGAGTCCGGAAGGGAAGAATCATCCAGACATGTGAGTTTACACATTATGTATAAATATTTACATAGTATGTATCAACTTTTTATACACAGTGTACACACTCACAATCTGGATGGTTCTTCCCGTCCGGACTTTGCATGGAATAAATTCTACTTTCGATGACACATGTTAAGAATGATAGATGTAGATCAAAAAAGGCTTGATTAGAAAATATTAGAAATGACATTTTATTTATTAGATTTACTAAGAATATGTAAAAAAAAATAAATAATTTTATTATTCTGGTTTTCATTAAAAAAAATGCCTCCTTTCCGCGCGGTTTTTATGAAACGTATTTGATCTACTTCTGTTGAGCTTTTTACCAAATACAAATCTTGAGATAAGATAGGACGCATTAAACAAATAATTCCAGTGGTCTCAACCGCTCTCTATTTCTTCTTTCTCTCTCTCTAAAAAGCAAGCCAATGGAAGCGGGGAGAGCAAATCGCGCGGTCACGCTGCATTCGAACTCGAGCAGGTCCGATGCCCGTCGCCTCCACCACTAGGCGACGCCATTAATCATAGCTTTATTGTTCTTGGGACCCTGCATACTCCCTTCTCCTTTCCGAGGCCTCAAGCTTCGCTCTTAGCTTTTCAATTTCTCGAGTGAGACAAAAACCTCCTGAGATAAGCCGGCTCACCGGTTTGGTCACAAGGCTGCGCTCACAAACATTGTAGGTTTTTTAAGATAAACGTCTGGCTTTCTAGCTGCGCCGGCTTTGACGACTTTGGCGTATTAAGGAGTTTTTTTCCCCCTTTAATCGGATTTGGCAAACGGTTTGAAGTAATTCCTCGGTTTGATTTTGACTGGACTACTTCTTTGAGCTGCAATAGATTATTGATTTGTTTGGGTTTGAGTTTGGATTGCGGTTTTAGGTTGGAGAGTTAGGTTTGTGGTGGAATTGAGTTTTGATTCGGGATTTGTTGGTTTTGATGTCGTCGATTTCGGTGGAAGAAGATGGTGGGAGAGGAAGCATGTGGGATTTGGATCAGAAGCTTGATCAGCCCATGGATGAAGAAGCTGGCAAGCTTAGGAATATGTACAGAGAGAAGGTATTTCTTTACACTTTCTTCTTTTGCTGGATTTTTAGTTAACTCTTTTTGGTTTCTGTAATTTTCGCATATTTGAGGTGGTTATCATTATAAAATAGTAACTTTTTTGCTTTTGCTTTTATTTTCTCTTGTTGATTACCGAAGTTTATTGCCCCCTCAATACTTGGACAAAGTAGTTTTGGAAGATCTATTAGCCACAGAAATCGTGAAAGGTGCTTAGTTCAGCCTCTGAAATAAGATGAATTATTCTGCGCGGTTATGAAATTGGGAGAGAACCGTCCGATTTATCTGTGTTGATGTAGAAATTTTACTATTCACAAAGATAAAATTATAAACCGTTCTTCCCGTCTGATATCCGCACAGAATAATCTCTTCTTAAATAAGACTAGACTTTGTCATCATTATAACAGACACCACGTTGATAGGAATTCTGTACTTGAATTCCTCTTGGTTGTTTATTTTTTTTTTACCCCGTATTGGAGTCCTAATCATTCATTCTGTACGACCAATTTTTTGAAGAATCCTTTGACATTTTGCCCTGAACTGTATCTACCAGTGTTGAATTTCTTATTGTTTCCAGCTGACCAAGTTAATAAAATGGCAATCTGATGTTTTATTTAGGTTTAGTTTGGGATATTTTATTACTGCTTCTTAAAATAGTTTTCTAGCTTAAAAAAAAAAATTGTACTAAAAAATTACTTTGCGAAACAGTAAGAAAACTATCTCAAATTAAACCTTAGTTTATATGCAGCACAACCTCCATGTAATTTTTGCTGAGTTAAAATCCTTCTCGTGATGATATGCCTTATTAATTTAACATTTATAGTTCTTTCTTTGCAGAAATTCTCTTCACTGTTGCTGCTACGACTTGCATTCCAGAGCCTTGGTGTGGTGTTTGGAGATTTGGGAACATCCCCGTTATATGTTTTTTACAACACATTTTCTCATGGCATAAGTGATCCTGAAGATGTTATTGGAGCTCTTTCTCTGATTATTTACTCATTAACTCTAGTTCCTCTACTCAAATATGTTTTTGTGGTGCTGAGGGCTAATGACAATGGTCAAGGTAAAGCATTTTGTCATCATCCTTTTAATAATCTTATATAAAAAGTTTCTCCTGCATGGATGATCAAAGACTCATGATGTTCATAGTATTTTAAAAATAAATAAATAAATGACCAACTCATGCATTGATCCAATTAAATTACATATATCTAGATAATTAACTACCCCCCCCCCCCCCCTACCCCCCCCCCCCCCCCACGGCACAGTGTGTAGGGCAGTCAAAATCGGGCCACAAGTCGAGTTCAGGTTCAACTCGGAACTAACCCGACACAAGTTGACCCAACCCATTTTTGCAAACGGGTCAAATATTTTAACTTGGATCAGACCCGCGCGGGTTACCGTGTTGACCCAACCTGACTCGTGCTGGCAAGTGCTCGAGCGACCAAGCATGCCAGCGCAGCCGTCGTCGTCGTTACTTCTGATCTAACTGCAGATGAACGGCGAGGTCGGCCCGTCGTTGTCGTTGATTCCGATCCAACTACAGATGAACGGCGGCAATGGCTAGCAGCGTGAGCGGGACGGCGACATTGATCATGTTGACGGGACGCGGCACTCGACGAGATGTGATTCACTTGACTCACGCGCGGAAGCGTGGACAGGACGGCGACAACTCGGATGGGACGGCACTCGACGAGTCGTGATTCATGCAACGTGACTCACGATTTACCCTGGTTGAGTTCAAGTTTCCAGGTCAATCCGAACGCGACCCGTTTTTCCAAATGGGTCTAATCAAGGAACCAAAATCCGCCTCGTTTGCAAAATGGGTTGACCTTAACCAAAAATTTTCGAGTCAAATTTTTGAGTCGTGTCAAATATTGACACCCAAACACACACAATACAAGACTATTTTGTGGAATGAGATGTTGGATATTGTTCTTTAATGGTCAATGTCATATTAAATAAGTTCTACATGCTTAAAGATTCTTCAAACTCCTCCCTACTCATGACTTTCTCATGTTCTGTATTTTGTAGGTGGTACTTTTGCTTTGTACTCACTACTCTGTAGGCATGCAAAAATTAATACAATTCCCAATCAGCATAGAACTGATGAAGAGCTGACAACATATAGCCGGCAAACATATGATGAGAACTCTCTTGCAACGAAAGTTAAGCTATGGTTAGAGGCGCATAATTTAAAGAAAAATGTTATTCTTGTTCTTGTTCTTTTTGCGACTTGTATGACCATTGGTGATGGTATTCTTACTCCAGCTATTTCAGGTATGTTTTCCTGTATGTCTTTTTTCTATTTAGGAATCACTCCTTATTTCAAATGTGGCATATGCTTTCTTTTCAGTTCTCTCAGCGTCTGGTGGAATCAAGGTGAACCACCCAGAGATAAGCAAAGGTAATTTTTCACGAAGTAAATTCTATCAATTTCAAAAAAAAAAAAAAAAAAAAACTAGAAAACTCTTTCAAACTCAAAAAGAAAAATTAAGAAAACTGAAATTTTATTGCAAGAATACAAACTAACAGAAGAAAATACAAGATAAAATTGATCCTCTATTCGAGAGGATCTATCTCTCCCAAATCTCTAAACGCCGCTAGAGCCCAAAAGAACCCAAGAGATCTCAAATTTTAGCCAAATTCAAGATGCCCTAAACCTAGGAAAAAGAATTATTTAATGCATACAATTCAAAAGGAAATCTCTAAACAACCCCTACTTTAAAGTTTCCCTCCCAACACCCTTTAAAAATCTTCCTAAACAGCTCTGTGAAGACCAGACGGTCAAATCCTGCGTACAGGAGGCGGAGACTTCTGCCGTTGTTCGCGTAAGCCGGTCCCATCGGACCGGGTGGACCGCTCTAACACATGCTTTTGTTGATATATTACATATTTGAGCCTCTATCATCAAGAAGTAACAACAATGTTACCTGATACCAAGTTGTCTATATATTCTGGTCAAGTACATATTATTTCAGCTGAATGAATTAGATTTCTGGATATGCTCAAATTCTGCCTCTCTTTCTTATGCTCTATCTTTTTCTCCATATCAATATCGCAGATGTTGTTATTCTGGTGGCGGTGATCATATTAGTTGGTTTGTTTAGCCTGCAACATTATGGTACAGACAAAGTTGGCTGGTTATTTGCTCCAGTTGTCTTGCTCTGGTTTTTGCTTATAGGAGCAATTGGTGCGGTCAACATATGGAAATATGACAGTTCCGTTCTAAAAGCCTTTAACCCAGTTTATATAGTTAGATATTTCAAAGGTGGCCGTAGAAACTGGACTTCCCTAGGAGGGATAATGCTTAGCATCACAGGTTAGCTCTTCCAATCCTTCACATCCTTCACTGTCATTGGAAAAAATGTGCATCAGGTGTGCAAGACATGCTTAAAATGGTTAAAATTTTCTTTGTAGGAACCGAAGCATTATTTGCAGACCTGTGTCATTTTCCGGTGCTTGCCATTCAGGTAAATGATAGAGCACTTTAAGCAAATATTTCAAATCAAAGGTTGTATGGAACTCAACAATACTCTTTATGTGTGCAGATTGCTTTCACTCTTGTTGTATTCCCCTGCCTCCTTTTAGCTTATTCTGGGCAAGCGGCCTACATCATTCAACACCAAGATCATGTCCATGATGCATTTTATCGATCAATTCCTGGTTAGTGCTGTGCTGAGCTACCTTTCTTTGCTTTAGATGTATTTTCCCTGTGAATAAATGGTGATTCTTTCTTGATTCTAGGAAGCATGTATTGGCCAATGTTTATTGTTGCAACAGCAGCAGCCATTATTGCTAGCCAAGCTACTATTTCTGCCACATTTTCTATAATCAAGCAGGCACTTGCTCTTGGCTGTTTCCCTAGGGTCAAAGTTGTTCATACATCAAGGAAATTTCTTGGACAAATATACATTCCCGACATTAATTGGATTCTTCTGCTTCTGTGCATAGCCGTTACTGCTGGATTCAAAAATCAAACCCAGATTGGCAATGCATATGGTAATGTTTTGTTGAATTGAATCCATTATGGAGTCAGCTAGACTCTCAACCATGTCTCATATTTGGTCCCTATCACTTAAGTTTTTCTATGGACAGGAACCGCGGTGGTACTGGTTATGCTGGTTACGACCTTGTTGATGATCCCCGTAATGCTATTGGTATGGGGTAGCCATTTGATCTTCATCTTCTTCTTCACTGTTCTCTCCCTCATCGTGGAGCTCACATACTTCTCTGCAGTCCTCTTCAAGGTTAATCAGGGAGGATGGGTGCCGCTAGTCATTGCTGCTGCCTTTCTCCTCATCATGTATGTCTGGCATTACGGCACGGTGAAGCGCTATGAGTTCGAGCTGCATTCCAAAGTGTCGCTGGCTTGGATTCTGGGTCTAGGCCCCAGTCTTGGGCTTGTTCGTGTCCCTGGCATTGGTTTTGTGTACACAGAGCTACCAAGTGGAGTACCACATATCTTCTCACACTTGATCACCAACCTTCCGGCAATCCATTCTGTTGTGGTCTTTGTTTGTGTGAAGTACCTCCCTGTCTATATTGTTCCAATAGAGGAGCGTTTTCTTGTTAAACGAATCGGTCCGAAGGACTTTCATATGTTTCGTTGCGTCGCAAGGTACGGCTACAAAGACCTTCACAGGAAGGATGATAACTTTGAGAAAATGCTATTTGATACTATCTCCACTTTCGTTCGCCTCGAGAAAATGATGGAAGGTTACACTGATTCGGAAGCGGGTACCTTCGATGCACAGAAGAATGGTAGAACTGTTGATCTTCTAGCTGCTGAGAATGATGACACCTTGTACTCCAATGTAGAGATTACAAGCAATTCATCACAGGACTCAATAGTGCCTGCCCAATCTGGGGATCTGCGGAGCAAATACTCAACTTACCAGGGTGGCATTTCCACAAGTTCTGCTCCTGCAAGTCAAACAGCAAGTGATGAATATGATTTTTTGAACGAGTGCAAGGATGCTGGAATGGTGCACATATTGGGGAACACTATAGTAAGAGCTCGAAGGGATTCTAGTCCTCTTAAGAAGATTGCTGTTGATTACATTTATGCATTTCTAAGGAGAATTTGCAGGGAGAATAGCGTGATGTTGAATCTTCCCCATGAGAGTTTGTTGAATGTTGGCCAGATATTCTATATATAACTCGTGTATATAAAGTTCAAAATGTATTTAGAGTTCTAGCACTCCGGTTTCTTTTTCTTTTTTTTTTTTCAGGAGCACTTTTTTTTGCAGTATCATATGTAAGAAAGTTAAGTGAATAATAAAGTGAAGCTGGTTAGCCAAGGCTTCAAAGATATGGTTAAAGTTCTTGGCATTAATAATATTGGAGTTCAATGCAAGGAAGGAAATGCTTAATCTAATGCTATATAGAGAGTGGAATCAAGCTATAATTTGCTATGCTTGTAACTCCATCAATCACACAAATGTATCTGAACTTATTGCTAGATGGAGAGCCATAGACTTTTGCCTTCCCCAGATGGAGAAATTATTCTGTGTGGTCACCAGACACCGTTCGGAGGCGAATCAGGATAGATCACGTCACTTTTTTGTTATGTATTGGTGTTGTGTACCGCTGTATATGGGGTGACGTGGGTGATGCAGCGTCACCAGACTCTAATGCTATATACAGAGTGGAATCAAGCTATAATAAAACTGATGACATATAAAAACACTTTAAATTTTAATGTTTTTTAATTTCAGCAATTAAAATTATCAACTAATTTTATTATATGTCGTATGATTAATTTATAAACACCTATCTGTTCCCCTACAAACCAACAACACTTTGATTCTGAAAATACAAATAATAAGAACATATAATAAGTTTCATTATTAAAAAGGGCTATGCAATTTGCTTACATATCTTTCAATCGTCGGTTAGTTGGCGCACCAAATCCCCAAAGACTAGCTTATGTCTTCGCTTTCAAGATCTGCCCCAGAAGAAAAGTCACAAAGAAACCCGTCAGATGCACTGGTTTCCAAAATTGCAATAATGAGCTAAAAGATCAGTGTTTCAATAAAATTCAAACGTTGTGTTATGTAGAACTATTTCAAGGATTTTAGCACAATCTCCTTGTAATTTGCACAACACAAATCTCCACCACCATTAAAATTTCAATTAGAAAATGATAAGAGAGGAAAGAATTCTCCTCTTCAAGATTCAGATTCCATTAAAAATTTAAAATTCATACAAATAGAACTACTAAACATAAAACCTGGATCCCTCTCACAACAGATAAGTACCTTCTTAGCTCCTTTACCAACTGCCAAATTCCCAAGAAAAATTATCACAAGAACAGTAGTTTTTTAAGCTAAGTGCATACATTGCACAACAAACCTATCAGAATTGTTAACACAAACAAACTTCAACTCTTCTTTCTAGCAGTCCTAGCATCTCAATCACCATCAGGCATCTGGTCCTGCTCTGGTTGCAGCTGAGTTGACTGCACAGTAGGCTGCTGCCAAACATAGGCCATTGGATGAGCCTGCGAAGCAGAAGCATACATTGCTGCTGCACCTGCGGCCGTTGTTTGATCGACAGGCTTCCCCATGATCATACCGGCTCCGGCTACCTGCGACGGGCCTGGCACATAATAGTATGGGACCGTATCTGACGGCGAACCCATTCCTGGAAGAGCTGCCCTTGGAATCCCCAGGCCATCTTCCTTCAACTCGTCTCTTGGGACAATATCTACAAGGAAATCGAATATGTCGGTTCGGGTTATAGCTGCAGCAATGTCGTTCTTCTGTAGGGTCCTTCTCTTGTTTTCCTCTGTGTGGATCCAGGATCTCAAAGTGAGCTCCAGGATAAACATTTCACAAGCTTTGGCGAAGATCACAGGAGCCTCAGCAGAGATCATCCGCACATCTTCATCAGCCTTCATGATTTTCTTGATCCGGGCAAGAGGAAGGCTGTGGTTCTTGAAGTCTGTTGTTTGCTCAATTTCATGCATCTGGTTGGACCAAAAAGCCAGCAGTTGTTGCTGTTGTTGCTGTTGTTGGTGGTGATGGAATTGCTGGACCTGCTGATATGAGAGCTGGTGCTGTGCAGTGGAGAATGGGGAGGCACCAACAAGAGACTGGGTAGAAGGCATGGCTCCTATGACAGGTGAAGCACCGGTCACCATGGGAGGCGCATAAGGGGGAGCAGCATAAGCTATTTGAGCTGCACCAGGTACAATCCCCATCAATGACGGTGGTGGCTGTGAAGACTGCTCCATTACCCCAGAAAGGTACCTTAGTTGCTAATTGCTAATTAAGACTCGGTAAAAACATAACTGCAATAAGAACAGTGAGTTAATAACTTAGAAGAACGGAATTAGAGAATTGGCAGCAGGAAAAGGAGGACCTAAGAGTCCTCATAATAATGTAAAACTTAAGAAACATAAGGTCTATTTGATTCGACAGAATTTGGGGAATGCAAATGTATTTTGCTCTGCAATTTCATTTTGGGTGTTTAGTTTCAATGTAAATAATACATAATTGAATTTCCTTAAAAACTGAGAATAAATGTATCTTTCGATTGACAATTTCACCTCAGTAAAAAATAAGAAGAGAAAAAAATTATCCAATCATCACTATGACTCACATGCCCCTTCCCAAAAGAAATAAAAATTCAATTTCACAACAACCAAACAAGAAATAGAATAAAAAACACTAATTTCCTTCTCCAACAACAAGTGGGAAACTAGTTTCATTATTATTTTCAATTCCATTTTCTTTTCATTTCCTCTCTTTGAATGCCTACAAACCAAACATAGCCACAGTGCAGAATCTCCCAGAAGGTTGCAAATGTTGGAATAATCAGAAACTTTAAAACAATAACCATTTGAAAACATGGAGACAACAAAAAATGTCAAAGTAATGGCAGAAGATGACATTTGAGGCATGTATGCTTTTCAGAATAGGATGAGGAAAATTAACTTAGAGATAACTTAGCTTTATCCAACCAGCCATTTTACTAACTCTGCTTTGCCTTCTTTTTTTCTTTTTTCATCTCACCAACAAAGTAGGCACAAATACATCAATCAATCAGAGAAAACAAATATATCCCAATCAAACGTCTCTGATGCATTACAGAATATCATAAATGGCTTCGAATATTTTGTTTGAGTGATACATGATGAAAATATAAAACCTTGCATCATTCGAGGAGAGTCTTGCCTTCAAATTATTCTAATAAAACAGAGCTTCACATGGAATAAAGTTTTGTATAGACATAAGATAATAATAGGCGCTCATTAATTTCAGCCTTACGAGCTGTTCAATATATCGAATATCACGGGCATTTCAGCAAAACGAATAACCAAGAAATTTGATCCGCTCATTATCCTAGTCTAAAATCTGACACAATCAATAATATTAAGGGTGTGCGAAAAAAAAAAAGATGCATTTAAAATTCTATAAGCTGGGAACAAGAGAACGCAATAAAGTGATCTAGAATAGACAAAACAAACAAAACCTAGAGTTTGTTTGAGGCGACTATGGCTTCGTTTGGGGCGGCTTTTTTCCTTCTTCTAAAAACAACTTTCTAAAATTTTCTTACTAGAAAGCTGCTTTAAGAAGTATAAAAAAGCCAATCCCAAATGAAACCTATATTTGTAAAAATATTTGTGAAACTATCGTGGGAAAATCATTGAGATCTACCGTAACTATCATAATTTTTTTTTTCTTTTAACAAAATTGAACAACTATCTTATAGCTACCACCCTTTGATAGATTTTATGGTAAAATGAAAATCTTTCAACACAATTTTGAAAAGCAATAAAAAAGATGGAGCCAAATCTAATTGAGATAGCTTTTTGAAAAGTTGAGATGTGAAAAAGCACCTCAGACCCTTTGTCAACTTCTCTACCATCCAATACCGCACAAAAAAAAATACATGCTCTTTAATCTTAATCTCTCATGCTCGCTCTTTTTCTATGATGCACCAGCAATTCTCTTCAAATAATTATAAGGTGTCCGACAAATATCGAACACGCACGCGCCTGACACACCTCCGACACGTGTCAGAAACGCCGAAGGCATGTTCGATTAAAAAATATTAAAAACAAATTGAACATGCAACCTTAAATATTTTATGATTTTTTTTAAATATAATTTCTTGTATTTCAAAATTTTATTTATTTTAAAAAAATTAAACTTATTTATGATAAGAAACACTTGTAGATCTCAAGTATTTTCTATCAATCTTCAAAAAACAGCGAGAATCCTTCACAAAAGTCCACACAAACCACGAAAACAATAGATAATTTGTATTATTTGATGAAAGGAAAACAAAAAATAGCAAGATACAATTGATCATCTATTTGAGAGGAGGATCGATCTCTCCCAAATCTCTAGACACCGCTAGAGCCCAAAAGAAAAACTAGATCTAAGAGATCTCAATTTTCAGCCAAATTCAAGATGCCCTAACCCTAGGAAAACAAACTATTTAATGCATACAAATCAAAAGGAATTCCCTAAACAATCCCTACATTCAATTTCCCTCCTAAAATTCCTTCCAAAATCCTTCCAAAACCGGCTCCTGTGACTTGCGGTTGCGTTTGGTGCATCCAGGGGCAGAAGAGTTCCGTCCCATTTAACGTGAGCCGGTACCACCGGCTGGTCCGGTCTATCAATACTCCCCTTCCAAAGATTCACCTTGTTCTCAAAGTGAAAATATGCTCGTGTTACCGCAAAGGTGGCCATCCTTGAGGTGACTAAAAAACCTTAACGTGTTGAACCAAAGGCTGCACGGAAAGAGAAACATCCCCTCCCTCCTCCATCCTGGTCACATCCAGCTTGTGTAGTCCCACTAGATAATCTTCCCTCACCTCTTGTAGGCATGGTTTAAAATTGCGCAATATGAGGCTCGCCTTGAGGACCCCTTTGCGCAATTCCAGTAAAAAACGCCTCAATGCTTACGCCTCGAGTTTTTTTTATGAGGCTTACGCCTCAACTTGGTTGAGGCCCGCCTCGCCTCACTGGCATGAGGCTTACGCCTCACACTATATATATTAAAACTTACATAAATCTTGAAATAAATGCCCGACATTGGACTCTATAGGAGAGGAGGAAGGGGAGAGAACAGTTCATCATAATGATGATTCAAATGAAGAACCCCTTAGTGATAGACATGCTGAGAGACTATGAGTTATTTATGTGATATGTCATTGCTATTTTATTTTAGAAATTGGAATTATATGTTAATAAAAGAATACTATGATTGGGAAATATTAAATTTGAGTTGAACTATATTTATGTTGTCTTATTATGGATATTTTGATTTCACTCATATCTTATGTTTTTTATGTTTTATATTATTCACTCATTAGTATATAAAAATTTACATTTTATGTTTACGTAATCTTTTGATTTGAGGCTTACGACCAAAACCCTTAGGCTTACCCTCGCCTCACGAATAAAAACGCCTCAATACCCGATACGCAATTTTAAACATTGCTGTAGGCTCCTAACCATAGGTCTTAAGTGTTACCATGGTTTGGATAGCCATGCATCTCCCGTTATAAAACACCTTCTTCCACCTTATTAATTTCATCGTGATGATGCTCACCAAATATCCTTGGTTTCCCCAAGATTTGCGACACTTCATCCCAAGAATGACATCAGTACTTCTAACTCTAGTGGAAAAATCCTCCCTTATCTGAAATCCCCTAGATGGTCAACACCACTCCTCTACAGATCATTTGGCTTTCTCCACCTGCCATCAACCCCATAAACAACTCAGCGTCCACCAATTTCACTCCCAATTGGTCGACGACCTGAGTGGAAATGAAATTGTAGGTAGCCCACTATCAATTAACACCACCCACCATCCTGCCCTCTATCTCCCCTTTTTATCTTCATGTATGATTAGTGAATCCTACCACTGAGTTCAGGGAAACCTCGGCCATATCCAAATGCAACTTCATCATCCATCTTTTCTCCAACTCCCCTCACCTCCCTCATCAGTTCCTCGTCATCACATACACGACGGTGAGAACCTAAAGAGTTCGGTCCTTGCACCGATGCCCTGACGTATACTTCTCCTTGCACCTTAAACACAACCCTTTACCCTCTTCTCCTGCATCTCCTTCTCTGTCAACCTCTAAATTTGAAATTCCTACTCCCTCTACTAGCTTCTCGGCTGGTCTAATTATATGTTGCCTGATGCATGCCCCTTAGGTGCTAAAAGAGTGGCACTCCCCTCCTGTAAGAAGCTCCTGAGCCGCTGTTCCTGACCCCTCTTCAGATCTTCTGATTTCCACCAGCTTGCCAACTTCATGGCCTCCCCCAACTCACGAGGCATCAAACCCTTCAATGCTGCTCGGATTTCTACCTTCAACCCTTCATGAAGTTCCCCTCAAATACTGTATCTTGATAATCGCTCCACCCTACTGCTAGGTCTCAAATTGCTCCGGTAGTCTGCTATTGATCCCTCCTGTGCACAGAGCAAAGAAACAGCTCAAGAAACTCTCCCCGATCGGTTTGGAAACGTTTCTATATGCAATTCTTGAATTCCCTCTAGTTCCATAGGCTTCTTTGATCTCTCCACTGATACCACGAACAGGGCTTTTCCTTCCAAGCACAATCCAGCTGCGATCAGTTCTCCTCCTCCGTCAGCCATTGATAGTGAAGTATCGCTCCACCTTGTAAATCAACCCATATGCATCTTCTCCTTCGAATATGGCATCTTCAACTTCCTCACCTTCTGGTCGCCCCCATACCTCAGATTCTTCCATAGTTTCCCTCTCCCAAAGTGCTAGGTGCACCACTGTTTCCTTGGTCTTTCCTTGCTCTACATAGCCCAACCCCCTTCGAAATCCCCCCTTCTGTCTTCAAATCACACCTCGACGACCATAGTATCCCTCTTGTCGTTCCCATATCACCCTCCTTTCTTCCCTCTGGACAGGCTCCAGATGGGGTCCTTATTCTTCCTCTTCCATGATTTTCACCTCATCTCCTCCTACAATTTTCGAATTCGTACTTTTTCCTTCCCCTCTTGCCACGAAAAGCCCGCCGTTTGATTTGAATTTCTAACATCTTCTTCATCATATCTCGAGATCGGCGACTTGTCCTTCAATGGAGGGAATCCTTTCCTCCATCGTCGTTTGATTTGATTCATCTCCCATTCAAGCCTTCCTCTAAAGCATCAACCTTTTTTGCCGCCATCACAATCTAGAGTTTGTAAAACCAATTATGGATTTGAGAATTTCAAAAACAGCAATTCCCTTTCCTCCCGGGCAATTAATCACCGCTGAAATTTGCCGAAACAGCCCTCCACGGTCCAAT